AATGGGATCCATAGGGAAGGGATCCATGGGAATGGGATCCACAGGGAAGGGATCCATGGGAATGGGATCCATAGGGAAGGGATCCATGGAAATGGGATCCACAGGGAAGGGATCCATGGGAATGGGATCCATGGGAAAAGGATCCATGGAAATGGGATCCACAGGGAAGGGATCCATGGAAATGGGATCCATGGGAAAAGGATCCATGGACATGGGATCCACAGGAAAAGGATCCATGGAAATGGGATCCACAGGGAAGGGAACCATGGGAATGGGATCCACAGGGAAGGGATCCATGGGAGTGACATTCACAGGGAAGGGATCCGTGGAAATGGGATCCATAGGGAAGAGTTCCATAGGAATGAGATCCATAGGGAGAGGATTTACAGGGAACAGATCCACGGAAACGGGCCCATAGGGAAGGGATCCGTAGGGAAGAGTTCCATAGGAATGGGATCCATAGGGAAGGGATCCGTAGGAATGGGATCCATAGGGAAGGAATCCATAGGAAAGGGATTCATGGAAGAGGAATCCATAGGGAGGGGATCCATAGGAATGGGATCCATAGGGAAGAAATCCATAGGAAAAGGATTCATGGAAGAGGAATCCGTAGGGAGGGATCCATAGGGAAGAATTCCATAAAAACTCCAGCTTTTCCACCCGGGAATTCCAAGGGGGGGGGGGTTTTTTTTTTTTTCCCGGGCTCTTCCCGAGAGGGCTTTTCCCGTTGCTTTTGTTTTTCCCCAGGATTTTCATCATCTGGGCCATCAGCTCCTGGTTCCGGAGGGCGCCGGCGCCGCAGGAGCCCAACAGCTCCGGGGGGACCCCGAGGGCTCCCAGCAGGAACCTCTTCCCCAAGGACACCCTCATGGTAACGCCGGGAACGCCGGGAATGCCGGGGAGGAATGTCAGGAAGGAATGCCCGGGAGGAATTCTGGGAAGGAATGCTGGGGAGGAATTCCAGGAAGGAATTCTGGGAAGGAATGCTGGGGAGGAATGCTGGGAAGGAATTCCGGGAAAGAATTCCAGGAAGGAATACCAGGGAGGAATTCTGTGAAGGAATGCCGGGAAGGAATGCCAGGGAGGAATGCCGGGAATTCCAGGAATGCTGGGGAGGAATGCCGGGGAGGAATTCCGGGAAGGAATGCTGGGGTGGAATTCCGGGGAGGAATTCCGGGAAGGAATTCCAGGAAGGAATTCCAGGAAGGAATACCAGGGAGGAATTCTGTGAAGGAATGCCGGGAAGGAATGCCAGGGAGGAATGCCGGGAATTCCAGGAATGCTGGGAAGGAATTCCGGGGAGGAATTCCAGGAAGGAATGCCGGGGTGGAATTCTGGGAAGGAATGCTGGGAAGGAATGCTAGGGAGGAATGCCAGGAATTCCGGGAATGCTGGGGAGGAATTCCAGGAAGGAATGCCAGAGAGGAATTCTGGGAAGGAATACCGGGAAGGAATTCTGGGAAGGAATGCTGGGACGGAATGCCGGGGTGGAATTCCGGGAAGGAATGCTGGGGAGGAATACCAGGGAGGAATTCCCCAGGATTTGCTCCAAGGGATCTCCTGGTATTCCCAGGGCTCTCCTCCTCCAGGATGAGCTCTAGGGGTGTTTTCCCAGTATCCCAGCCCCAGTATTCCCACATTTCCTCAGGATCTGTCCGTGTCCATCTCGGAGCACGAGAGCTGTTTGCTCCGGGGGGTCTCCCAGTATTCCCAGGGCTCTCTTCCTCTGGGATTTGCTCCGGGGGTCTCCCAGTATTCCCAGGGCTCTCTTTTCTCCAGGAGGAGCCGAACGAGAAGCCACTTTTCCCACAGTTTCTCCTGATATTCCCAGGGTTTTTCTCTTCCAGGATTTGTTCCAAGGGTTCCCCTGGTATTCCCAAGGCTCTCCTTGTCCAGGATGAGTTGGGTTGGGATCCATTAACTCCGAGAGGGTTCCCCTGATATTCCCAGGACTTTCCTCTTCTTGAATTTGCTCTGAAGGTTCCCAGTATTCCCAGGAATTTTCTTCTCCAGGATGACCTCGGTTGGGACCCATTTGCTCCAAGGAGTCTCCTGGTATTCCCAGGAATCTCCTCCTCCAGGATGAGCTGGGTTGGGACCCATTTGCTCCAAAGGTTCCCCTGGTATTCCCAGGAATTTTCTTCTCCAGGATGACCTGGGTTGGGACCCATTTGCTCCAAGGGTTCTCCTGGTATTCCCAGGAGATTCGGGGTTGCTCCGAGGGTTCTCCTGGTATTCCAGGGGCTCTCCTCCTCCGGGATTTGCTCTGGGGGGTCTCCCGGTATTCCCAAGGCTCTCCCATTCCCACATTCCCCCAGGATCTGTACGTGTACATCTCGGAGCACGAGCACTTCACGGATTTCAACGCCAGCTCCGCCCTGTTCTGGCAGAAGCGCGACCTCGTCTACGGCGACTGGACCAGTGGCGACAACGCCGACGGCTGCTACGAGCACTACGGCGAGCTCGACATCTCACAGGTGCCTCACGGGGGCCTCCCTGCACCTTCCAGGGCCTTCCTGCACCTTCCAGGACCTTCCAGGGCCTTCCTGGACCTTCCAGGACCTTCCAGGAACTTTTAGAAACTTCCTGGAGCTTCCTGGGGCTTCCAGGACCTTCCTGGACCTTCCAGGACCTTCCAGGGCCTTCCTGGACCTTCCAGGAACTTTTAGAAACTTCCTGGAGCTTCCTGGGGCTTCCAGGACCTTCCTGGAGCTTCCAGGACCTTTCAGAGGCTTCTTGGAGCTTCTGGGAGCTTCCTGGGGCTTCTGGGAGCTTCCTGGGGCTTCCAGGACCTTCCTGAAGCTTCCTGGGATGTTTTGGGGCTTCCAGGATGTTCCAAGGACTTCCTGGAGCTTTCAGAGGCTTCCTGGAGCTTCCAGGACCTTTCCAGGGCTTCCTGGAGCTTCCTGGGGTGTTTTGGGGCTTCCGGGACCTTCCAGAGCCTTCGTGGAGCTTCCTGGGATGCTTGGGGGCTTCATGGATCTTCTGGAGGCTTCCTGGGGCTTTCAAGGGCTTCCAGGGGTGTTTTGGGGCTTCCTGGGGCTTCCTGGACCTTCCAGAGGCTTCCTGGGGCTTCCTGGACCTTCCAGAGGCTTCCTGGGGCTTCCTGGAGCCTCCAGGGGCTTGCAAGACCTTCCTGGGCCTTCCAGAGGCTTCCTGGATCTTCCAGAGGCTTCCTGGGGCTTTCAAGGGCTTCCAGAGGCGTTTTGGGGCTTCCAGGACATTTCAGGAGTTTCCTGGGGCTTCCTGGATCTTCCAGAGGCTCCCTGGGGTTTCCAGAGG